TGTGTGTGTGTGTGTGTGTGTGTGTGTGTGTGTGTGTGTGTGTGTGTGTGTGTGTGTGGTTTCCAACTGCTTTTGAGATCTATAATGCAATACTTACTTTTCCATTTACTTTAATATTTTTGACACCCATTCCAAACAAGGTGGTTGATTATTATGCCTCTGTCTGCCCTAGACATGTCTGTCTTTGAAGCACAACTTTGTGCAGATGTTAGTGTGAGCATATATGCACAAACCTTTGTACTGGAGATGTTGTCAATGCAAACCAGGTATTTTATTTGTACTCTTGAAAAATTAGAAGAAAATGCCTTTTTTTATATTAAACAATCATCATAAATGACCTTGACCTTTGACCCTGTGATGCAAAGTTTTTGACCAACAGTACGAGTTATAAATTGAAGGCTTCGTGTTGATTCAAAATGAGCAACTCTCAGTCCCTATAATAAAGTACAGTGTGCACTGCAGACCGAGACAATCAGGAGTAAAGTGCAACTTGATTAAACTGCTTAATCAGCACCTCAAACTGTAACYGTCCCTGTGGCTCTGAAGCATGTGCATTATGCTGAATATTTGCATGCAATATACTGCCAGGCTGCGTGTGTGTATCAGTGTGCACAAGTGTCTCTGTTCAGGCAACTGACTCATCTGGGGCCACAGGTTTATGACATGTTTTATTTTGCAGCAGCGGTGACAGATTATTTGACTGAAACATTCTTGGATTGTTTTWCTGAAAGATTATGAGTCATATAAATGGAGAACACTCATAAACTTGCACAGAACTGGGTTTACTGTAATCAGATCTTTAGCTCAACCTGATTATTTTGTGGGAAAAAAAAGTGAGTAATGTTTGTAAGTGAAGGTATATTTAATGCAAACCTGATGATCTTGCTGTACTATAATGAGTTTTATTGATGTGGTTGATCTAAAATGCTTTTGTGTGCATTTATAGGTGATAGCAGTGGTGATGGATGTCTTCACTGATGTGGACATCTTCAGGGATTTGCTAGATGCTGGTTTCAAGCGGAAGGTGTCTGTTTACATCCTGCTGGAACGCACAACACTACCTCATTTCCTGTCCATGTGTCAGAGGGCCAGCATGCATGCTGGACACCTCAAGGTAAGCTGCTGTCATGCACCACATCTTTCCCACATACCTATGTGAGGCCTGATATGAAAACACTGACTATATAGGCCCAGCATTCCCTGAAAGACTGCATATTGTCTGCAGTCCTTTATCCCATTCGCTAAGGCTACGTTCAGACGGCAGGCAAAAGTGACCCAAATCCAACGTTTTTTTGCTCACAATCAACCCAAAGCTATTGTTTTTTACTTATTTATTATTATTATTTATGATAGTCTGAATGGGACAAGTCTGATATATTTTTTTCTTTTGTAACCCAGGTATTTTTTTTCATATGTGGTACTAAATCAGATACATATCCAATGTTTTTTCTGAAGCAGCTGCAATTTAAACTCTTATGTCACAATTTATTTTACACTTACATTGAGGTAAGGTTGTGTAGATTAGGGGTGTCCCAATACCAGTTTTTTCTCAAATCGAGTATGAGTACTTCAGTTTGGGTTTTCGCCAATATGGAGTACTGATACTGAGCATTTACTGAGTTAGGACCTAAACAAGACACRACTTTTAAAACATTACTATTATTTRGAACCAAGTGTTTCTCCTTCCTTTTAGGCCTACAGCCCCTCTGACTAGATCAYATTAAATCTACATCATGATATATAATGTTGCAACATTTAAAAYRTTTTTTYAACTTTCTTAAAAATGGAACTGAGAAACTTTTCAAATGAAATTCTAATTTCAACAGTAACCCCAAATTTACACTGCWTGTGGGTCTGCTACATCACACACTTCACTGCCATTTGTTTCCACCAGATTTACACTGTGTGTGCAATATAGTCAGTGATAAATGTGGAAGTCCATATTTTAGAATAACATCAAYATATTTTGTTTGTTTTATGCCTGTATGCAGAGTCATAAATTATAAATTTTGGCAGCATTATAWGTGTATCCATGTATTTATTAATATAGCTAGAATTTTGGCTAAATGCCTTTGGTAAAATATTTTGAAAATATGGATGTTCATTTATTTTCCTGCTGGTGCAGTGTGGTCTTTTTAGATTGCTCAGGCATCCAGMAAAAATAGAACCAAGTCAAATTTTGGCAGTTGGTTGTGTGCACACCACCGCCCTGTTGAGGTATAGTAAACACTCAATGACCATAAAGGGTTTGTTTTTACTGTTGAGTTTGTGCTGCAGTGGCGCGGATGCAGTGTAAATCCAGGGTAACACATTCAATGGAGTATCAATGCTGGTATCGATACTTAATCGGTTCTGGGTATCAGGGCACTTTTTACAAGTACTTGCAAAATGCTGGTATCTATGTCGTTACCAACACCACTAATCCAGACTGATCCAGATATTGATATTATAAACCGACATCATGCAGTTTAGAACTTGGAACTCCACACATCTTCACCCATGAAACAGAAGCCTTAATCTTTTTTTTTCTTTTGCCATGTCTAGGAGGACCATGAATCCACAACAAAATATACCAACATTTGTGTCAGAYCGTATCGATGCTAGCATAATTAGATTAACGCTTGARATKGTTTCTCGCCTCTACTTTCAGTCGCTCCCATTGCAGAGGTTCAGTTCTGCACCAGAGCAGGCAGGAAGCTGCAAGATAAAATGTAACACTGGACAAAACACCCATGTCAGATAATACTGTAATTTAGTTGGCTCTGATGGCACAACTTTAAATCGATCCATACATGCTAACATCTATAGCATCAATATTTACGTCTATACAGATGCACGTTCAGTCAAGTAGAGCAGCTAAAAACATTCTGTAGGGATATATAATGTGAATAACTTGGAAGTTAAAAAAACATTTTTGTCATGTCAGGACCTGTTAAGGTAGGTTTTATGGAAATAACAGCTGTGACACGAGCTCCGTTATCAAACATAATTGTTTTGACAAGACTCATAAATTATCTTGTGTCTTTTTTCATTATTGGGTAATAGTATCTGTACTGAACACGGCGGCTCCCAGTCTGCTTGTCCTGTTTTGTTTAAACTCATTTACTGTTGAGTTGTTTGGTGGCTTGGAGCAGCATGTGACAGAAAGATGYGAAACACCACAGACATGTTCGAGCATCAGATGTTTTCATCTAATTATCTGGATTTAACAGATGCACATGCCAAAAACTCAAATCATTTTGGTGTGACCGTGCTGCTTTTAAAACAACACCGGTTTTTTTCTTTTACCTGTGTACTCAACACAGAAAGGGATTATTATTATTACCCCTAGATATGATTGTTTCAAAAGTTTGCAATTGATTCTTTTGACATAAATTTCTTAAAATGTTGTAATAATTGTTTTTGTTAATCTATACTCAGGACTCCTTCCATACACTTTTTTTCCTTTTTATTTCTGGTTGAGTCATGGGGTACAAAGGCCCAGGATGAAAACCCAGCCTTTTTTTGTTTTTTTGTTTTTAGCATCACATGCCACACAACTCTAACAAAGCAAAACTGCAAACCATACATGCCAAGTTGTATGGATTGTCCGTAATTTACACGGATCTTCCGTCATTTYGCAGGTATACAGACGTACAGAGCAATCTCAATTTTTATCATTTTTTACGGATTTTTCCAAAAACTCAGTTTCAAGTTTATTTAACATGTCTGAGTCTGCAGGACGTTAAAAAAACAATAACATTAAATATCCACTTCCAACACATGCCGCTGCTAGAAATAAATTGATCTGTCCTCATATCCTTCTGATTTAGCTGCAGCCAACATTCCACCTGCACCCCGCCCCCTCCGCGGTTGATGGTCCATCTGCACCCCACCCCCACCCCCAGCACATGTTTAACACAGATTTTTTTTTTCCAAAAATTACGGCCTTTTGAGGCTCATAATATAGGTAAAGGTCCGAAGGGATTGACGTATGGCAAACTCAAAGGCGGTCTGAATTAATTCTGAAGCCATTATACATATCGTTAGCCACATAGCATAATTGCCTAAGTCATTTTTTGGCCAAATTGTGATATCTGCCTAACTCTACTCTCCTGCCACTGCTGCATCATCCTGCCTATTTGCTTATGTCCTCAGCCTATCACAATGCTTGTKACAGTCTAAAATCACTTCCTGCCTTAGTCATCTTTTTGACTTAGGCATTTTTGCCGCTATATTCAAAGATGGCAAACCGCATGGGAAAGAGGGTTCTGCTAACCACAAATGAAGTTTTAGCTCTATTCTTTGAGTTATTTGGTAAGCCATTTTACATTTATTCAACTTTGTAGATAATACATGTACTTTCCATCAAC